TGTCTGTTACTGTGTACTGATTAAAAAAAAAATATTATGACATCGTTATTGAGTATTTAGTAAAATTAGGTGATAAGCTTGACTTAATTTGGTGGTAAAAAATAAAATATTACATACACGTGGGCTCTTTCAATATTCAATGAAAATAACTAAAATAAATAGTCAAATATAATAATATATGTTAAAGTATTACATTGAACATTATTGTCGACATGAACTCCATTTGGTTAAAATGCACAGTAATAATTCAAAATTGATAAATATATTACAAATTATTGTAAAAAATTATTCATGTCGAGCTTATATAATTTAACCTATTCAATTTCGTTTTCGTCGAGTCTTACAATATATTTCATTTTCAACATGTAATAAACTGACTATTGTTATTTATTATATATAATACGGATATTTTTTAAAAATTAAAATAATATTATAGATTCCGAGCGTTAAATATACCAATTGATTTTACTGAGACGTGTGTTTTTTATTTTTTTATTTTTACTCTTTGTTAACTATTTTTCTATCAGAAATATAACTCTGGACAATAAGTATTGTATCTTTTTTAAAAGTTTAGTGTGTGTACCGAGAAAGATCGGTTTTCGATTTCTTTTTTCTTTTTTTTTTTTTTTGGAATTTTCTTATAATAATTGAAAAACGCGAAGAAAATACAGGACAGTTTACGTAATAATAGTTTCTGTTTCTGATTTTATTATTTTGTTGTAATTCGATTAAAAATAATTATAAAGACTTGACATTTTCAAAACATTCTACAGATTTTTGAGCTAGCTATAGTCATTTAACCTATTATAGTAGACAATATAGTAATATTAATATATGATTTAAAAAAGGCATTCTGTAATGGCTATTGGGGTCTCATAATGAATTAATTATATAATAATAATATTACTTTAATTTAATGTAATTAGTATTAGTTAATTTAGTTTATCATATACCTGTTTATTTTTTGAAGTTTAAATTTATATCATGTACGTGTTATTTTTATGTAATTAGATATTAGAACTCTTGGGCCCCCACACGAGTCTTCTCAGTGGGGCTCATACTCATAATATGTATATGAAATAAAATAAAACAAATTAATTAATTAATATAAATTAATATTATAATATACATTTACTAGACGTCCAATAATCACGGACGGTGCAACGTTGATGAAACATAATCCGTTCTGGATTCTAATTCGATCTCAATTCGTGATTCGCGATCGTAACGGACATAACAATCAGCTCTGGACCCAGAAAAGCGTGTCCCCCGACACGAAGCGTGTTCCGCGAAAATCCAAGTGCGCCCCCCGAAATGTATGTACCGAATTTAATATTGTATGTATTCGTTTTTAATGTAGAAATGTTTTTGAAGATGATAACGGTTAATTAATGAGATCACTCTATCCGATACATTGGTATTTATTTTAAATTATATTATTTTAGTAATATTGTTTAAACTTTTACTTTTTTTGTGTCGATAATTTTTAGTATACACTTATNGCTACGTCCTGCCATAGGTTTTTTTTTTTTTTTTGGCTATGAAAATCTATTAACACTATCGACCGAATTAAAAAGTGTGTCCCCTGAAATCTGATGTATATTTTAGGCCCTGAATCAGCTGATTCGGCTGTTTGTCGAATTTAGAATTTATATGATTGTCCTCTGCGGTATATTTCTTAAAACTCATTCCGGCCGTTTTTAAATTGGCCGGCACTAAAATTTTCCCAAGTCCATACAAATTTATGGTGTTAGAATGGGACAATTTTTGGTAGTTTGTTGGGTAAAATATGAAACTGATGATTGATTCTGATGCTTATTATGCCACTGCTGATCATTATTATTATTGTTTAATTGGTGATTATTATTATTTTGATAACGTTGAATCTTACTATCATGTTTGTTTTTTTGATGATGCTTCATATGCTGCTGCTGATCATTATTATTATTTAAGTGATGATTATTCTTATTCAGATTATGCTGATTATTATAATTATGTTTTGTTTTATTTTTTTGATGTTTATTTTTATTATTTTGCTGAATATTATTATAATTTAAGTGATGATTATCCTTATTCTGATTTTGCTGATTCTTATTATCATGTTTTTTTTTTTTGATGAGTCTTATTAAAATTATGCTGCTGATCATTATTAGTATTTAAGTGATGATCATTCTTATTCAGATTATGCTGATTTTTATTATCATGTTTTTTTTTTTTTTTATGTTTATTATGCTGCTGCTGATCATTATTACTATTTAAGTGATGATTATTCTTATTATGTTTTTTTGTTGATGATTATTATAATTATTATTTAAGTGATGATTATTCTTATTCTGATAACGCTGATTCTTATTTTGTTTTTTCTGTTGATGATTATTATTATTGTGCTGATTATTATTTTTATTATTATTTAAGTGATGATTATCCTTATTCTGATTACGCTGATTATTATTATCATGTTTTTTTTTTTTTTTTGAAGCTTATTATGCTGCTACTGATCATTATTATAATTTAAGTGATGATTATTCTTATTCAGATTATGCTGATTCTTATTATCATGTTTTTTTTTTTTTTTTTTTTGNNTGATTATTATTATTATTGTGCTGATTATTATTATTTTTATTATTTAAGTGATGATTGTCCTTATTCTGATTATGCTGATTCTTATTATCTTGTTTATTTTTTTAATGAATATTATTATTATTGTGCTGATTATTATTATTATTATTTAAGTGATGATTATCCTTATTCAGATTATGCTGATTATTATTAACATGTTTTTTTTTTTTTTTTGATGCTTATTATGCTGCTACTGATCATTATTATAATTTAAGTGATGATTATTCTTATTTTGATAACGCTGAATCTTACTATCGTGTTTTTTTTTTGATGATTATTATTATTGTTGTGCTGATTATTATTATCATGTTTTTGTTTTTTTGTTGATGCTTCATATGCTGCTGCTGATCATTATTATTATTTAAGTGATGATTATTCTTATTTTTGATAACGCTGATTCTTATTATGTTATTTTTTGTTGATTATTATTATTATTGTGCTGATTATTATTATTATTATTATTTAAGTGATGATTATTCTTTTTCTGATAACGCTGATTCTTATTATGTTTTTTTGTTGATGATTATTATTATTATTATTATTTAAGTGATGATTATTCTTATT